GCACACATGCACACCGTCGTTTTGTTTTGATACTAGCCAAATTGAAATTTCAAGATGATGAGAAGAAATGCAAAAACAAGTGTCCCTAAAAGGCTTCCGTATAAAAATTCACTGTCAATACTATCAAGTTTCACCAAGCTTGAAGACACATACGTGGATAAGGTATTTTATGCTTCTTCGCCCCAAACAGTCGCAGTTTCGGAAGATACAACAAATACAACACCCGAAGGGTCGTGCTGTAAACACTGATATTCCTCGGAGATACATTACTATATTCCCAGAACAGAACGTTGTCGATAACACAAATGTCAAAGCTGAACATTAACTGGTATTGCCTGAATAGTTTACGTGTGCTTTACATCTTTGTCACTCAGTTACTTTTACACATGACGCATGCTGCGTTAGACAACACACACTTGCCTTCGTATGGGAGACTGTGTGAGTGGCGGACGCTAACAGCTAGCGCAGGACGTGCTTACCATTGTCACCACTATAATCCCTTTTACGCCCGATGGAATTAGTTTCGGCAGATATTCGAGACTGGTCAGTCTAACTCTCAGGCGCTGACGTTTTGACTTTGCTATGCAGTAACATATTGAAAAAAAGAAAGTCATTTGTCATTTTACTACATAGTTTCTTTCGATTAATTTCATTAGATCTTTACTATTCACTTTTTTAATGTATTGTGATGAAAAAAGCAAAAGCATTTGTTTTTCAATCAAGTGACCGAGTCTGACACAAATATGAGATAAATTGTTTGATAGGCATTACTTAGAAGTTGACGGATGACAAGGTAGACTTAATTTAAAGGATAACAACTTCTTTAAATGTTGATGAGACAAGACATTGTTTTAGAATCAACAATTAGACTACGGTCCATCAGTGACGCTTGTGCGTGTATAGTCCGTCAGTGGTGTTGTGTTTTGTTTGTTTCTTGTTTAACGCCGCACTCAGCAGTATACCAGCATTATGACGGCAGTCTGTAAATAAACGAGGCTGGACCAGACAATCCAGTGTTTGACATCATGATAGCGAGCCTGACCACCCGATCCCGATGGTCGCCTCTTACGACAAGCATAGTCGCCTTTTATGGCAAGCATGGGTTGCTGAAGACCAATTTTACCCCGGATCTTCACGGGTCACGTACTTTGTAATATATGCTTAGATAAAGTGATGTTCATAGTGTACAGTAACTGCAAATTGTAATAATGTTATGGTATGTGTGTTTCATTATAGATTCTTGTAATTGTACACCATACTATATTATGTTTAAGGGTTTATCATCATTTCTCCATTCATCTTGTGTGACTATCTTCATTTCCCCGATAGAACCAGACAGAATAAGTCGCATGAACAACCCACGAGTAGTCGCCGTTCTTCCACTGTAGGCGTTGTAATACCTCGGTTACATACCAAAAAGATATGAATGACCTGAGCAAATTCAGCCATCTCGATCTAGTTCCATGTCCACTTTACAATTCTAAAATTTCCGTACGACACGTATTTTATTTATCGATATGATAGTTACTCTTGTTTTATTAATGTCTATTCTGGAGTATTGGCTACCTTGGTCTGTTACAATCAAATTTGTAAAAATCGCCAATGTCCAAAAATATCCGCAATACAGTTATCACAATGTGAGTTTGATAGGTACGTGAATAATTTGTTTTGAAATTTCTGTTATCTCTACACACTGCGATGTGGAACTGACCAACTACATTTTTTCAACATGTTTTTAACAAACGCATATTGCCAAAAATAATTTAAGTACTAGGGATTATATTGATCGAAGTACCCATATCGTGACGCGCCGTTTCGACGCATGGCGACCTTCGAGAGTGGGGACGAGCCTTGTTGTAGGTTACGGAAACCTGCGAATGGTGACGAATGGGATGGCCCAGTCGTCTACTCGCTGTGCAGAGTTGAGTCCCTTGGGCACGCCAGAAACCTATTATTGTGGGTTCGAATCCCGGTTCGCCCCGATTATGTTTCTAGATTTGTCAGCACCATACCCGTGCTCGTGGGTTTCACCGAAGTGGTAAACGTCTGAGACCTGCATCACTTCGGGCTTTCCTCCCACATTAAGTGGACACGCCGTGATATAACTTAAATACTTCTAAAAGCTTCGATGAACCCAACTCACTCATGGTGTTATTTTTGTGCAGTGTGAAAGTCATATGACAATAAGTCAATATCACAAGGTGAAAGTTTGTCACTCATTCCACTGTATTTGTAATAGTTCTGTTAAAAGTCTGCGGGGACATGGCGGTTTATGGGTATATTGCATAGGAATTTCATGCATTTCCAATTTTGTCTACAATTGTCTGTGACAATTCAATTTTGGTCTGTGTGTTTCCACATTCCGATTATGTAGATACGTGTTTTCGTCTGCTTCCGGCATACGCCTCGACATTCTTGACTCATTCCTAAACAACTCGTGTCATTCAGTATGAATAAGGAGGTAATCTCGTAGTCAAGAACATGGTTTAAGGTGTAAAAGAGGAAATGAATTGAAACTAATATTTTCAAATTGTTCTAAAATGCCTGTGTCGAATAATATTTGGGAAAATTATTATAAATATAGCTTGATGAACAGAGTTTGCCGCCGTGTTGATGCATCGTATCAAAAGTTTTGTTTTGGTTTGTTTCGTTTTTACGCCAGCAGACGAACCAAGGGAGACAACTACGGATGAAACTAGCTCCGGTGTAATATGAAAGCTGTTAAATATCACAAGGCGAAGGGTTGTCGCACATCTTGTTTTCAGATTTCACGAGATGAGATACATCGTATTTGACAAAAAGCATGAAATAGTATAATTATTATATACATTTGAAGCTAAAATGGGCCCCTAGTCGAAGGTGTGTAGTATAAAGCTTACATTCGGTTTCTGGGACTATGTTCGTCATTTATTACTTGTCATTGATTATAGAAATAATATATATACATCCGGCTTCCGTAGGACAAAAATAGGGCTCCGTTGGAGGGTATGCGCCTAGTGCGGGTTGTTAGTGCAGAGTTAGTGCGGAGTAAGTTAGTCCTAAAGTGAAGGTACGCTATCCGCCGTGGATCAGTCTGCGTCCTACTTGTCAGGGGTCTCGTGCATCCACATGGCGACGATAGGGCAGTGAGCGCGGCGCCTTACCTCACCTCCAAGAGCACCCGGGTTCCTGCGTCGGTAAGAAATGACAGCCAAGGATAAGCATCATTATCACACTTCTGTATATGCATTGTATCATTGTACCAGGAATATATATTCTTATATCTTGCATTGTAGTTGCTGCTTTTGCTATATATATATTTTATAAATTGCCTAATATATTTTACTTCACGTATGGGACAATAAATATTACTTTATAGATTCCATAAGTAAACATTTACAATAACACTTTTTATAACCAGATAGTGTAATAACATGTTTACCTGCGATTTCCGATGTTTTGTGCTCACGATAATGTCTTTGTGTTGTGTTGGTTTCTTTGTTGTTCAACTCCGCACTCAGCAATATTCAAGCTATATGACGGCCTTTGCGTTGTGAAAAACAATCAGAATTCATTGTCTGCGTGTATTATGCCCCCAAACCCACCCTCTTTACACAGCTGTACACTTTGGGGGAAAGGGTGTGCACTATACACAAGATACTATCGAACCCAAGCCTATTTTCGATGTGTTCTTTCTCAAAAGATATGAAAAGCTTGCCTCTTTCGTCTTCTTCTGTGCCCCCTTGTGTCTTCTTGGCAGTCGTCCTGCCTCTAGAGGACTTCTTGGAACTGTTCTAGCCACTGGCATTATTTCAGCCATATAGCGCGAACTTTGATAACAAGCTTTGTATATGTTTAAACAAAACTTTGTCCCCTTCACAACTGTAATACTCAATCATCTTGGATTGATTGCCTGGGCAGAAACCACACAAGGTATAATCACTTTCCTTGACAGTCTCATCTTTAAGAAAATATCTTATGTCAGAAACTTCAGCCACTTGTCCTTCAAGAGCAAGGACCAGACGAGCAATTTGATGAAGTTGTGAATGGAGGATAACTCTTACTGTTGCTTTGTCTAGCAAATAGTGATGTTAATGATGACAGAGCATTGGATAACAAGTTAAAATCTCTATTAGTAATGACGGTTTTTTTTAAGTAAATGTGATATTTGTCTAATGTTGGTAATTTTGAAGCCTTTCTAAATATTACAATCGTATTAAATTTATTATTTAGATTCCATGTGTATATGAGGACACTTTGCTGGCAAAGGCCTAGGGGTTATGAAAGTTGCACCAATGTATGTCAGTACCTACCAGGAATGGTTAATTGAGTTTCATACTGAAATTGGAAGGAGATTGTGTAATACCAAGTCTTACATATGTGGTCTATCTTCATACATCCTTGTACAACTGTGTAGTTGTTGCCTAGTTTTTGAAAAATACGAATAACCAAAAAAGATGCCGCTGCTAACTTCAGGCTGCTTTTAAAGAATATGTTATTTTTCTACATGCAAGTGAGGGTTACATTATATGTTTTTCGTTTACCTTGTCCATACTCAATTAATCAGCCGGACATAAAAAAAAAAATTATATACACCCAAGTTTGATGGTGGCTGGGAATGATAATAATAGGAAATGTGTTTTTTTATGATGATGTATTTGATACGGGTATCTTAGGTGTTTGCCCATTTGCAGTGTTTCGGCGACTGTTTTCAGCCTAGTAACGTTTTGAAAATGTTTGTAATTTTTGGCTCAAATCTAATTTCAAGTGTATACTTTCTTTCGCCCGCCAGTGTATTTTACAGGCCGCCGTGATACAGCTGAATAGTGCTTACTGTGGAGTTAAACAACATTCACTCACTCATTTAAATGTTTCCATTTATGAACTATTATATGGTGTAATTAATGTGTGCGTGGGTCTGTGCGACGAAGTCGTGTTATGCTAAACATTTTGATCTGCGTTCTGGTTTCACAATCTCAAAACATAAATATTCGTGCAAACGCAGCCAGTTCTTCGGCAATTGTCGGGAATTTCCGTCATAATATCACATGCGCAATAGTGCTTTGTTCTTGTAGGCCTTCTCGTGCTGGAAAAAAGCAAGGCAGACGCAGAAAATGTCACGCTACTCGAGACCACCGAATACATCACTTTACGTGAGAAATGTTTCAGATGGAACTAGGTTAGTATAGTATTATTCTACTAGGAGACAAAACAGGTTTGTTTGCTTGAAAAATTCAACTGCCCTACGCATGAAAAGAAGCCGGTAACTGGATCGGAAAGGCACAAGGAATGTCGAGAAAAATGTCGGCAGTTCCACTAGCCAACATCTCGTTGTAGCCTAATTTGTAAATGATCATTCAAGTCGGGAAGATGTACATGCCGTGTGGTTCACAAATTGCAGCTTTTGTAGTGATATCTTTTTTATTTTTTCACAAAAGTGCGTTGGTAGAACATTTCATGCCCTTCGGCCCGAGGCTAATTGCCAATGTCTGCCACATTTCTAATTCTGGTTGTGGCAGCGAGGAAGTTGTGTAAATTTGCTTTTAGTTTTAATCGTGTGGGTTGAAAAAGATCAATGGTCGTTTAATTTATTGCCAGGAATAAGACTTAGGCAGCCGACTTTGACTGGCTTCACTTATCTGGCATGCCTTTTCGATCCTGAGGGTAAGTTGTTGGGGTAGGTTAGGTTGGAATGCTCTTGGATCAACTTCCTGATGAAGTACCCCTTTAGGATCGTAAGGTTTAGGTGCCCATTTCCATCGACCAAACACCCTTCACGATTCTAAAGGGTTTGGCTCCACTAACCAAGGAAACACTGTACGATATTTAGGGTTAGTCACCCCTTCGTGAGACTCTCTCCACCACCCCCACCCCTATCCACCCCACTTACATAATGTAACGTATTGAGGGGCAATGCAAACATATATACCTTTAGAAGAGGGATACAGAGGAAAGTCTTTGCTGTGTTGGCTAATTCAAATTCTAAACACAGCAAAAACTCTGTAGTCTTCAGACTGGCAATGTAAGTTCGATCCTACATGCGATGCTAGCCTGATTGAAATGTGAAGAAGTGTGCCCAGTAAAATGCACAAGGCTACTCCCATTGTATCAACTGATCGAAAATGAGAAACTCATTTCTTACCATTCTTTGTGGCAAATTTGTTGGATCTTGTTAGTCTTGCTGTAGATATCTGTATGTTTATAACTTAGTTTTCCCCATGGGGAGTATTTGTTACCTGTTGTCAGTTATTCTGCTGCTTATCACAACATGTCATGCATATATACCTCTCATCACTTGGTTGTTGTGACTTCAGCTTGATAACAGTGTAAGAATCTACATCGAAACATACCCGTGAAGATCCAGGTTAGAATAGGTTTTCAGCAACCAATGCTTGCCATAAGAGGGTGGTCAGGCTCGCTGACTTAGTTGATGCATGTCATTGTATCCCAATTGTGTAGATCAATGCTCATGTCAGTCACTGGATTATCTGGTCCAGACTTGATTATTTACAGACCGCCGTCATTAGCTGGAATATTGCAGAGTGCGGTGTTGAACAACAAACATTGAAAAGTCGCAATATGCAATTAACCAGAAGCGGTCAGGACAATGTGTGTATTATATGTATAGCCTGTCTTGTGATACTAGTTTTATGTCCCGTCTAAAGAAACCAGTGCAGCCTATTGTATGTTTGTATTAACATTGGTTTGCATAAAAGCACTTTTCACATTTGTCATGAGCAAGCTTACACAAGCACTTGAGTAAAGATTAATATTGAAGTTCATCATTTATGATTGAACAAATGTTTGTGCTAAAGCCTGATTAAATTGAAGTGTTAATCCGGAAAAATGAAACAGAACTAGATGACAAAGCTGAAACAAAAATTTGTGTCACGACTTCTTTGCATGAAACACGAACATATGAAACCATGTTGATGTTGAAAAGTTTATGCAGCATGCAATGCATAAATTGTCCACCCGGTCCCTGATTCAATATCTTGTATGTCAATGCGGTTAAGTTTCTATGAATGACTTTGTCCATTGTATTGGCTACATTTCCATCAGATTTATGTATGATCTCGGCATTAATCATTTTAATTGGTTTACCATTTCTAGACAAGATGAGTTGCGAAGTTTGTTTGGCAAATATGGACCCATAAGTGATGTTTATGTCCCTGTGGATTATTACACAAGAAGACCCCGAGGATTCGCATACATACAATATCCTTGGAGAAAGAGCTAGAATGTTTGGATGATGCAGTCTGTGACTTCAGCCACTTGTCTGCAGCCTGAGTCTAGTAAAATGTCTTTTGGTCTAAGAAGTCCCTTAAGCTCTACTCATAAAGTCAAGAGATGGGTTCGGGCTGGTAGACTCAAATATTTTTGGCACAGGCTGTATACATCTCTTTACATGTTTATAGTCTGTGTTGCTGAATTGCTTTTATTATCATTTGAAAGAACACATGGATGATAAATTGCTTCATCAATGAGGATATCAGTAGAATGTTACATGGCAGTAGTTTTTCATCTATGATCTAGAATGTGCATAATTTACAATAAATGACGATTTTGGCACATAGTTTTTTTTTGTTTAATTTACTTTTGCCTTGATTGTCTGAACAAGCATGACTTTTGACCCAAGCAGTGGCCCATTCTTTGTCATGTTTCATATGACCCATTTTTGGCACGTCCTAGATCTAGCATCACTTCTGGGAGAAATCTAGGATGTACCATTGGCATGATTGGTCATTTCTCCAGTTTGTCCGTTCCATGTGGTCTCTACATTAGAAATGTTCTACTGTTGGATATTTGTAGGCTGCTAGACTCTGTATCTCAAGTTTGTCATGTGCAAAAGACCACAGTGATATAATAACAGCTCGGCTGCTGATTGGGCATCATCATAATACAGTACCTTGACAACATGAATTGTTTTTCACTCTTTTTAATCACTCTTGGTCAAACCGTCTACTTAAAACTGATGTAGCTGTAATATTGCTGACTGACGACATTTCATTCATAATACTTAATAGATGTATATTCTGCCAATGTGACATTTTTACTTTTATCATGGTTGCTAACCAAACGATTTTGACTGTTATTTGGAATTGTTTTCAATCGTGTTTGTTATAGATCTTTAGGAAATGTTTTTGAAATAATTATGATCATTTTCACAGTTCTTTCAAATGTTCCATTGAATGTCAGCCAATTTAGCACAGTTTAATCGTTTATCGCAACTTAAAATGGAGTTTGGTTAATTTTGTTAGTTATTTGGCTCAATACCATAATCATTAACTAACCTTTATTTGTTTCAGAGTTCAAATGTTAGTTGCCAAATTTTAAAATGATTTGTGACACAATGTTGTAAATTAGTATGTGACTGGGAAATCAAGTAACAGATTGTCATAAAAGGGACGAAAATTTTCATTTGTCTGACATCCAACTTGATTAAACTTGTTATTTCATTTCTTTTATCAGAATACAAAGACAAGTTAAAGTTAAACAAGTACAACCTATAAAGGACAAAGTTATAGCCAGGCAAAGAGCAAGCACAGGCTGACACCATGGGTCAATTGCTACGGTTTAGCAAGCGAGTCCCTTGCATGTCCAGGCTGTTCAAAGTAACTGGGCTTCCCTTGCTTTCCTTAGTCCCATTGCTTGAGGCAGTACAAGTTCAAGTCTTTTCCAGTACCAAGCCCACTTAGTCATTCCAATGCAGTTCAAGCATTCAAAGCAATTTCGAGCCATTTCAAGTCCATATGTCTTTTACAAGCCAAGCAAGGGTTAGTCAAGCAGGGCAATCTAAGACCAGGTTTCAAGGCACTAAAAGCATTTCACAAGGCATAGTAGTCAAGGTCAAGACATAACAAGTTCCAAGTTCAAGCTGTTTCAAGGCAAGCCAACAACGGCCATTTGTCACTTGTTGGCTGTTGGTCGGTTTCTTGGTGTCTATTTGGCTACTATGTTGACTTATATCCAGCAAATTGAGTTTTCATATTTTACTGTAACTTGGTACTATCACAATAATAAGGTGCAAGGTGCATGTTGATCATTTTGTTCACCTGTTATAAGTTGTTAAATTATTTTGTTAAAGAAAACATTTTTTGTTCAACATTTATTTCTTTTTTAAAACATGTTAAACGTTTTGAGTGCATATTTGTAACATCAATACACCTTTTCAGTTCAGCATTCTTGTCTTCTTTGATAAAGAAAAATGTTTGCCAAAGCTGTGTGTTAAGCCCTTAACCAGATCACATTTGAGGATCCCAGAGATGCTGATGATGCGTTGTACCATCTGGACAGAACACGCTTCTATGGCAGAGAGCTTGAGATTGAGTTTGCCAGAGGTGACAGAAAAAGTGAGTGGAAAGATTGCAATTGGGGATGCAGGATAATTAAGCAAGGAGCCTTGTCATTTTAACATTCCTAATTGCTGAATGTTTAAGTTTGTGGCATTTACAAGAAAATACATGGACATTGCTGTTTACTGCCATTCACACATAACTAATTTGGTAGCAAATATCAGTGAAGTTATTGCCCCAAATATATTTGTATGTGCCAACCAGAACATTTGCAAGTTGCAATCATATGACCACATGACTGGAAAACATGAAGGATTGAATTTCAAACATCCCATGTCAAATGATAGCTCTGTTCCTTCTGAATGTCATAATAGTGTTGCTTCAACCCTCCAAAGTTGTGAGATTGATACTGTATGGTGATGAGCTAGACTCTTCCTTTCTGTATTTACAAAGTTAGACTAAATGACGAATTGGTTTGTAAATTGTCACCCTTCAATTTAAGACAAATCCCCTTATTGCAATACCAATTTTGTAGCTGCTGGACAGATGAGAGGCAAAGAAAGAACACGCCGTTCACCATTTGGAGGTCATGGGTATGATGAATACGACCGGGGAGATCGTGGTGGCCGCCGTCGCAGGTCCCGATCACGGAGTCCAAGGTTTGTATACAGGCTTGCCTAAAAGTGGTAGAAGCATTTTCTTTCAATTGATGATAGGCCAGTACAGTACATCAAAGCTGCCCTGTAGAATATATGTACTTGCTTTTAATAGAATTCAAATCTGTAAATTGTTTACTTCCATGGAGGTATTATGCTACATGAAATTGGGCTCCTAATCTTTGATTTCTTGCAACAGGAGATCCCGAACAAGATCACCAAGGCGAAGGTGAGATAGATATAATGTAATGCTTGTAGCTTGTCTTTAGGCATAATGTGTTATCTGTTCATAATCAATGTTTAAAATTAAAATTCAGAACGAAAAACCAAGGGTCTCCTTATAATAAGCCTATTGTTAAAAGTTGAGATTTACGGTGTTCCTAGATTAAAGTACCATAGGATGAAATATTAACGATATCTGGTGTCTATGCTCCATTTTTGGGGGGTTCATCAATTCAGTACATAGTGTGGTTCTGGTTTTTTTGGAAGTTCATGTGTGTTCAATGCAATAAACATGGTGGATATGGAAATCAATGATAGTATTTATGGACACTCCTGTTTTAGGAGATCCTACAGCAGATCAAGGAGCAGGTCATATGACAGAAAAAGAAGCATGTCTCCCAAGCGACGGTGAGCATTATTCCAGGTGTATATGACTATTCTTACCTTTAATCTTGTTCATATTACCTAGTCCACTCATTAAATATTGCCCCCCTCCAGTGGCGTTAAGCAACAAACTGTCAGGGGGACTGAAACAAAGGCGTTTCACTTATTCAGGTCAATATTTTACAATGGACTATTATTGGCTTATGTAAGCAAGATAACAAGGTAATGAAATATATTTTTCCTGTATGTTCAGCGTTAGAAATTGGCACTAGTCCTGTAGTCTTTGCCTAACTGCCCAATAGTAAACTGTTAGTTTCTACCGCTGATGTTAATGGTAAGAAACTCGTATTAAGTTTGTAAAATATTGTTTTGTTGTATTCATCAGATTCGTTCAATGTCGTCATATAGTTAAGTCTTGTTAATCCGACAGTCTGCTTTATCCGACACTAATGATGGGAACTGATTAGAGCTAATTTGCAACGAATTACCGAAATCACTCATTAACCAGTCTTGTTAATCTGACAGTGATCAGCGTACTCCGTGGTCATCTGACCGTGAGTACACAGCCCACTGTTTTGATACAAGACGAGTCGGCTAGGAGCTGCATATTACAACGGCTGCAGAGAAAAACTTGCTTAACAATAAACAATTAATGCTTTCAATAATCAAAACAGGATTAATCACATGCTTAGATTGCCTCAATCTCATTAAAATCAAATACAAGTTCTCGCTATTGTTGAGGACATTCCTTTCGCAAACAGGAAGTCGACATTTGCCACTAAGATAGTGGCTTTCTTTAGGTTTGTGGCACTAGTTTCAAACTGGTGACTTCCATTCCAGACAGCTTTTTAAAATATTTTGAATCAGTCATACAGCCTGTAACAGTAGTTTTGTGTTTAGTTTTAGAGGTTGCATGATTAGAAAACATTCAAGAAACAATGTAACATAATATTAATATTACGTGAATTTTTTGTTTGAATCGCTATCAATTGTGTAGGTGTCCGATTATCGTTGATACTAATTAATTTCCTTTATCTGACGTGATCATATGCAACCAACCATCTCAGATTGACTGTATAAAGGTATTTTGTCAGTTAATTTGTTTCATCACTTAAGATTAAAAAAGCGCGCATAATCACTCACAATTTAAATTGTCTTGAATATTGGCATTTCTTAAAATGGTATCATTTTTCAGATCCCGATCCTTCAGTCGCTCCCCATCAAGAGGCAAGTCGCCCGGTGGTCGCAGTCGAAGCAGATCGGGGGATAAGTGATTCCCTTGTCCTGGATCAACGTATCATATCTGATAATTATGTGAAGAGTGAGCTCGAACATGTCAGCAGCATCTTGTGACAGTGTTGTCTCATTTCATCTGTATATATCTCAGTGTCCAATCATGTGTTCGTCTCGCTACATCACCACAGCTGTTGAACTGAACAAGGAGACTGTCACCCGAAAGCGGTTTTCTACTTGAACAATGCAAGCAGTGCACAACTGTTGCCATTTTATGTTCTTAAAAGTATTTTAATCCTGTAATAAATGATAATGTTGCTAGTAGATCCTGGTCTGTTGTTCTTCTGCAGGACAACTTGTAAAGTGCACTGTTCTTCACGGGACTGATAGAAACTATTGAAGTAGTCCTATTCTTATATGTATTATCGATAAATGAGAATGAATATGGTGTGACACTGCAGTAAACATCAATGTTCAGTGAATGTTGAAGGAGTTAGAATGTCAAAATGAAGCCCCAGACAATTGAGAACCCAAATACAGAGTTAACAGGATTTCATTCAGAACATGACATCTTTGTAGGCTGTACAGCAAGGTCGTGCTGTCCAGGTGTCCTCCCATTAGTTAGACGTCCCAATAGTTAGACAGCTTATAACAACACTTTAAACGGTTGAGTGCACACTAATCCTTATGCTTGTTACCTCAGACTTTAAAATGGAATAGTCCAGATAAGATCTGACAAAGCAAAGTAGCTTTAAATAGATACTTTAATATTATACTTAACATTTGATAAATTTTATACAGTTTGTGACAGTTTTGGTAATGTACACTTTACATTTAATAACTGTTACAGTTTATTTATCACCGACAGTCATACATTTCTCATTGCACGTCTTGACGACACATCTCCAATGTGTGCAGGTTTGCCTCTAGCGGTTTCTGTTGTAAATATATCCATCTAATATCAACTGCTTACTTCCACGCCGAGAGGTGATGTACTCTACTTTCCTTAAACCAGCCATATCGATACTGATAACGATACGTACCCCAAGATCATATTTGTTTGATAAGTAGATAATCTAAACTCAACTCCTTCAACTGATCATACAGTAAGACAATTAAGCTACTCCATAGTTTCTCTCAGCCCAGGTTCAATAGGCATGAGATTAAGGTAATTTAGGTTAATTAAACGAAATTGTAACATATATACTCCCTAAACTGAGTCCCCTATCTCTACTCAGTACTTTAATCTAATTAGGACTGATCCATTACACCTGTAGGTATACTCCCTCTTTGCCTAAATAAAAATGTCTAACAATTGGAACATCTAACTAATGGGATATAACCGCTGTCCACTGATCATAGAAATCAAATATTCACTTCTATTATATGCCAAGAGTAATTAGTGAGGATGCCTGTTGGTAGGCAGTATCATAACCCACTAAGACATATTTAATTAGTGATTTGTTGAAATGGAAGGAAAATTGTAGGATAATAATTGACCGACATTTAAAACCCGCATACAGGATTATATCTTCATAATAACATCTGGGCATGTTTTACAGATCAAGTTTTGACTTGGTGTTTAAATCAAAGAATTGAAACTCATGGATGACGGAAATTGGACACTAACCCATTGGACTACAGAACTGGTTCATTAGAAGTTACCATGTTTGGTGCATATTTCCTGGCCAGATGTTTTATGAGCATTAATCAGGACTACCGTAACAAATGATATTCCATGTTGTTAAGTCAGAAACAATCTCAATAAAATCAATCTTTGTTTAGCGCTAGCATTACGGGTCATGTCAGAACGACCTTTCATCCAACCAATCAGAGCGTTGCTTACCAGATCCTGAAAGTGAGTCGGAATGTGTTTTCTAAACATGCAACCTCAAAATGTTTAACAGGGTATTCCGAACGACAGTTACAGGTTTTATGATTATATCCATACAATCTAGGCCATCTATAAGCTATTCCAGAATGTTTTAACTTTTGTAATCGAGAATACGTCAAAATGTTTCGAAGCGTAGTGGCCAGTTTGAAACTAGTGCCGTAAAGCTCGAGAAAGCTCCCTTCTGATTGGCTTATGTCGATTTCTTGTCAGTCATTTCATTGGTCCGTCAATGTTCGCGAAAGGTCGTTGTGACGTGACCTGTAATGGGATGTCCTCAGATCTTTGTTTAGCGGTAGCGAAAACTAAGATCTGATTTTAATAAGATTGAGTCAGAAAACACTTCTCAGTCTTGGTAGCCTGAGACACTGTATAGCTTATGACGTCTATGCAGACTCCTCGCCAGGCAAAGTAACAATCCATCAAGTACCATCTTGCAACACTCTCATGAGTGACGCGGAGAGGGGATGGAACCTCTGGGCAGGCCCCCCTAAACCAGTAGATCCGGATGAAGTGATGGATGTAAGAGTATTCAAGAAACTGACATGGAAAATATCTTTATTTCATTACAGTAATATACACAAGCTACACTTAGAGATTCACATGTGACTAACAGCAGCTGAAAACAGTAATACCATCAAAGAAGCATCTCTAACTTAACAAGTGGAGAATGTTGTCCTTTCAACAACATAAGTCCTAACATATATTTACAAGGAGCATATCAAGCTCTGTTCATCAGATGTACCACCACTAGAGATTTACATACAATACATTATGTACAAAGAACATACGAGTACATGTACAGAAGAGATTATACTAGATTCTGAAAATTTTCATGAAGCTTTAAGAGGAAGGATTAACAATGACATGGCAGACTCAGTTATCAGTTGAGGGACTCCTACTTTGGCCACCGGGGGACTTTCCTCGTGACACAGAGCGACTGAAGGATCGAGACCTGGAAAACAAAGGGTAAACGTTTGGAAATGGTCATGATTTTTTCCATAAGCTCACTGACCTAAAACGATATATTTGATATTTGGATCACCAAACTTATAACTCGTGATATCATTCTGTTGAATAATACTGAAATTTGAAAATGTCAAGAAGGCACAAGACCATCTGATACGTGTCCAAAGTTTCAGGAAAATATCTAATCGTTTGTATATATAGTTCTGGCCTTGAAATGAGCTCAATGCTGCTTTCACATGTGTTTGAAAAAATATTTGTATAGTTTTCTGAAATATGAACCTGGAAACAGAACATGCATTGAACTGACGCAAAGGCAATATGACGCATACACACACGCATTCACTTATTCAACTTGTTTATAGTGGTTTTCCGCCTGAGAGTTATGTAATGCAGTATGCTGATAGCGATACTAACCGTCTAGATGAATATCGGGATGAAAAACCTCTCCTGTCATAGGATCTGCTGCGAGACCTGAGGACCAGAGAAAACTTGTAATTAAGTTTCCCCACTTACATCAGGGCTCTAAATTAGTGAGTCTGTCAGGAATAGGGTAGCAAATGTCTGCCACAGAAAAATTAATTCCAAGTAATTTATTGCCAGGAAACAAGCACAACACATAATTTCAACTCGAACATATTCACAGCTACTTAGGGACTATCGGTAGTCTTTTATAAAAGGGCCGGGGGGTTACAAATTTGAATTGAATTCTTCTTCAGAATGTTGTTTAATATGCCACAACCAGCAATATTCCAGCTACACCACAGGACCTGCATGTTGAGCAGTCAACATGACAGTCAGCCAGGTCACATCACTTTAATCGACATGATAGCTTAACAATACCTTCTTCTTGGACTCCTGCTCCGTGACCTCCTGCAAAGGAAACACAAGGAAATGAAAGAGTATGTGCTGGGTGGATACTAGCAAATCCTTCGGTCACCTCATGTTGGCAGACACAATAAGCAATCACACCCCTAAAAGCTTGGTAGAGCTAAAAGAATACATTTCTTATTTCTCGCCACTTAATAAAAATCACTTTAGTACGAAGATATATTTGTCTTTTTATTCTATTATTGCAAAATTTCTGTGACCAATCTAATTTCACGGATTACATACGACACTATAATATGCTATTATTGGCCAGGTGAGCTAAAATTGGTGCTGCTTTTTTAGTGAATTTTATCTTCTTCCACCTCCGCTACTAACCTGGGACTGCGGCTTCTGGACCTGTAGCGACTGCCTCGGTCATAGTCGTCATAATAGCCTCGACCATATGGGGAGCGACGCACACGCTCCTTGTTCCTCATCTGATTAGGAGCTGGTGATAGAAGTCAACAGTCAACAAGGTCTCTGTGGAAACATGTCTGAGGGCAGAAACTTGGGAAAGTTATTTTTTTAATGCTAAAAAAACAGACTGGAAAAGTATGATGATACACATTCACACAATGGTACTGTTGGTTTGCATCAATGAATCTATCTTGGAGAGAATGTGCAAAATGCTGCATGCTAAGTAAACTGTTGATCTACAAAGAACATAATTGTAGTCATTCAGCAATATAACTGTTGAGATGTGACTTTAAGTCACAGTTGCTTGCAGTCGGCAATATTCTAGCTACATCATGGCAGTATGACAGAATTTTGCATTTATCTGTCTAAGATTTCATCAAATACACTGCAGAATTTTATAACTGGACCGAAAGGTTTTGAGGTGAAATGCTTACTAAAAGTGCATGTCTGTCCGTTGACACTAGTGATCTCCTGATTCATAAACTATTCTAGCCATAGATAAGTTATACAAGAGTCATCAGCATGATCAGACAAGAGTCATCAGAAAGATGACATATCCCCCCGGCAGCTGTCTGTAAAGTAACCACTAGTAAATGTGCAATTCTGTATGTAATGAGTCAACAGTTGAATGTTCTTTAAGAAGCATACATTGTTTACCCACTGAATGGTTTTAGAATTCTGGCCCGGAAATGAACCCGTTCCCCAATGGAGTCTAGGTCCAACTTCATTCCATAAAAATTTAAAAAAATAAAAATTAGAAAAATCCCAAAATATCAAAAGGCACCACTTCAGTATGTGCCTGATAGCTTTGCCAAGTTTCGATCAAATACACTGAACGGTTTTCGAATTCTGCCCTGGAAACGAACCCCATCCCCAATGGAGTCTAGGTCCAACTTCATTCCAAAAATATTTTAAAAAATAAAAATTAGAAAAATCCCAAAATATCAAAAGGCACAACTTCAGTATGTGCCTGATAGATTTGCCAAGTTTCGATCAAATACACTGAATGGTTTTGGAATTCTGCCCCGGAAAAGGAAATGATTACAGACGGACGGACGGACGGACGGACGGACAGACTAGGTGATCTCTATATCCCCCCCCGCATTATATGCCGGGGGGATAAAAAAGAGTGAGTGAGTGCCTTGGAAACAGAAAAAGTATATATAAATATATAAAGTTTGGACGGAAAATCTGGAATGGTGTTTTAGTTCTGCTCTGGAAACGACAACTGCCTCCGTTTCAGCTAAGTCTATATAACTTGTTAGCATGGAAACAGGGAAAAATAAAATTTTAAATTCCTTAATAGCGAAAGGCACCACTTCAGCCCTTGGTGAATACATGTACCAAGTTTGGATGAAGTGTCTTTCACAGTTTTTATGTTGTGCTCCGGAAACGACACCTACACCCACCTTTTGAGAGTAAGTCTGAATTGTTTCCACTTTGGCACCACTTTAGGATCTGTTTGATATATCTAAGTTTTGTTGATGAATATTGAACTGATTTCGAGTTGCGCTCCAAAGCAAAATGATTATGGACGAACAGACGGGGCGTCAATTTTATCCCCCTGCATTAATATATGCAGAGTAACCTGTGCCCCTCATGGTTTATTCTCCCTGCAGTGTGCAGTGTTTTATTGCTTGTTAAACAACTCCCACTCGTTTATTTCTTAAATAAACCTGCAGAGTTATGGATGTTACTTGATATCTTTACAGACCAAACAGCTTTGCCTTTCGTGTATACATGTAATACTCACTTTTTCTGTCACCTCTGGCAAACTCGATCTCAAGCTCTCTGCCATAGAAGCGTGTTCTGTCCAGATGGTACAACGCATCATCAGCATCTCGTGCATCCTCAAATGTGATCTGGTTAAGGGCGCAACTCACATACTTGGCAAAATGAAATCCAACAAATGCTAAACATAGTAACTTTGCCACTAAACACATGATGTATTACTATAGTATAGCATTTAATATACACAATATACCTAATACAAAAATACCAGTACTTGCAATGATCAGGTTAAGTGTTAAAAATTGGTTCAAGACATATGATTGATCACTGGTTCCAAAATCAAGATATGATTGATTACTGATCAATAATGAAAGAGAATACAACAAATTCGAATTTAGAGCATTCTTCCAGGCCCCTGGTATCCTGCTGTTAATAACAATAAATAAGAGAGCACAACTCTTAAATGAAATTGTATTTTATACATTTACTCTGCATATAATCTCCTAGCAAAGTTTACAATAACAACAGTATCTGAAACCTTGATGTTATCCGACTTACTTGTTTTGTTTTGTGTTATACACAATATTATGTGCCTGATTACCACCATTTATCATGTTAATATATGTTTAACACATTCTGCCAATACATTTCACAGCTGAAGAAACTGTTAAATACCAGCATAAATTGACTCAGTGAAAACCAGAACGTTTACTAGATGTGTAAACAATAAATAGAAGCATGCAGAAAGACAAATAGTTCTGTTTGATTGGATATTCTAACTTGGCTGACTTGACAAAAATGACTGCTAAACCATCTTGCTAGAATGTACCCACTGTATCTGTAAGTGGAGCCCTCATCTAGAGATGTTAAATCACTGTATTTGAAGCCTTGAGTAAGATGACTTGTCTTTAATTATCTTGGTCTGGGTTTGACTTAGTTATAAACTTGAGTCTTAACTTTTTTCTGTTTGAGAAAAACTTGTGTAAACTTGTTTATGCCAAACTTCACTTGACTGCGCCAAAATGTCGACTTCACAGATTCAGCAGAAAGTTGACATGGAAATGCCAAATTTGTCAACTTGCTTGACTTGTGGGTCAAACCTGTCTACTCGATTGCGCCAAAATGTCGACTTCAGAGATTCAGCAGAAAGTTGACTTGGAAGTGCCAAATTTGTCGACTTGCTTGACTTGTGGGTCAAACATGTCAACTTGCTTTTGTGCTGTTTGATGACTTGATCATGCCAAATGTTATCTGTACATCAGCTCTGACTGATCGGTCATCAGAAATCTGTATGACAGCATAGACTGATCTGTGATGTATCTTTATCTAATGGTCTCTTGGTATTAGCCAGCGTGCACACAAGGGGCTTGTGCATAGAACTGTACTTGATCCTTACTTTTCCACGTACTCTAACTTGACTTTGATTTCTGATGAAAAAGTGAAAAATGATTATCATCGGCAAACATAACATATCGTTCATACAAATACTGTCATGATTAGCACAGCATGACCTTGGTGTGTGCTGAAATAAATTGATCATGATGCATCTTGATATAAGATCTATGGCCACTAGTATATCTAGTAAATGTCCCTACAATGAAAAATAAGACTCCTTGTTAACTTAAGCATGTATATGAGACAGTAAACTAAACATTTCAACAGACTTGTTTTTCAATATTTCCTGTGTTTTCCCCTTTAATGTTATTTTCAGCAAATTGCTTTTTCAATCTCATTAAATTCAGATCTTAGTTCTCTCTATGACTAAAAAGAAATCTGAGGATATCCCATCACGGGTCTTGCAGAACGACCTTTCATCCGACCAATCAAAGCATCGCTTATCAGATCATGAAAGTGACAGTCTGAATGTGTTTTCTTATCATGCAACCTCAAAAACATTAACACAGGGTATTCCGAACAACAGCTACGGCTCGTACAACTGATTCCGTGAAAATTATCTTCTATCTCTCGCTTTTGAACAGAGGAGGCGTTGCACAGTACCTGGGAAGCACTGCCATACAATCCCAAGCATGTATCAGACATTCCTGAATGTTTGTTTGTTCAGTTTTACAAAATTTTAATCGAGAACTGTGTAAACATATTTTTCAAGCATAGGCTGAAATTGAAGTCGCCAGGTAAAAACGTGTGCCTTAAAGCTTGTGAAAGCTGCTTTCTAATTGGCTGATGTCGACTTCTTGTTAGTCGTTTCAGTGGTCGGTCAAAGTTCGCGAAAGCTCGTTCCGCCGTGACCCGTAATGGGATGTCCTCAGATCTTTGTTTAGCGGCAACGAGAACTTAGATCTGATTTTAATGAGATTCATGGCTTTTTCAAACATCATCATCATGGTCCATCCTAGAATTCTTCGAGGAGTACCGCTACATCTATGAGCTGTATAAAATGGACAATCAAGTCAAAATATAAAATACCTTTGTGCCAATCTCATTACATTATTGTAAATTATGCACATTCTAGATGATAGATGAAAAACTGCTGCCATGTAACAATCTGATATCCTAATAAATGAAGCAATCTATCATCCTTGTGTTCTTTCAAATTGTAACAATAGCAAATCAGAAACATCACAGCCTATAAACATATACATGTCAAGAGGATTTATCCAGTCTGTGCCCAAAACATTCAGTCTACAACTACTAGCCCGAACCGGTCACTTGACATTTTCAGTAGAGCTTAGCATTAATGTACAGCCGTTTACTGGACCAAGAGACATTTTACTAGACTCGATCTGCAGTCTAGTGGCTAAAGTCACAGGCTATCATCGCACCATTTTAGCTCTTTCTCCAAGGATATTGTATGTATGCGAATCCTCTGGATCTTCTTGTGTGATAATCCGTAGGGACATAAACATCACTTATGGGTCCATATTTGCCAAACAAACTTCGCAACTCATCTGGTCTAGAATGACAAATATTGAAATAATAAAATGCATGAAAAAAATTTCAGTGTTTTTATTCAGAAATATAGGGAAATTCAATATTGCTCTACCACTTAGGTTGTAATTCATGAAACTGAACGAATGCATGTATTTCAGTCTGTTGAAAAAGTTTGAATCGATGTCTGTTACATCACATGAACTAGTCACTTGACACCTCAGGGTAGCTTTTCTAAAGTCATAATGGAGCAAGGTAGCTAATCTGGTCTATTTTTAATGTCTCCAAACAGTGTACATTACTCATCATTTTCAGATTGATATTTCTCTCATCTAATAAAAATCAACCAAAAAATTACAAAAATTTACTATGCGTTCACATGAAAAGCATCTTAGGTGTGTAAATAAAGTATGTATAGTTTATCTGGTAAATGGCATGTACTAGCTGTGTGTGGCATGAATGTATGCACTCGGACCCCATGGTACCGGGCATTCATGGTATCGCGGCATTTGTGATTTCCGATAGTTCACGCGGGACACGCCTCTTAGCGGCTGTCTATGAATGCAAATCAGTAACCAGGAAGTGCTCACTTCGCTAACAATTTCAATTTCTTCGGAATGTTCCGTCTGCTGTAAGTAAGGAGTTATTAATCCGTTGATACATATTTCTGGCATCTGTTGTAATATTGCCTTACCCCCATCTATCAATGGCCAACGATATAACCCGCAGTTCCCCAAGTAAACTTTCTCTATCGACCTGAACTAGATCATCTGCATATACATGGCGACTAATGAGGTAACGGAAGTTACGAAGTCCGCACATTTTTTCCCGCTCTGTTCCCAGAATCTATTGGGAGATCATAAGGGCCATAATGCCAAACTTAGAAATACGTTCTTCACTTGTAACCAAAAGATAAATACATACTTTGGGCATACTAGGAGTGCTTTTTATATATTTATTGTTGACTTAACATTTTTCCATTTTGTGAAAAATTATTGTCATCCAATTTTTTTTAAACAATCTTAAAATATCATTTCTGATATTTTGATGTTGACTTATAAAAATATTTTTCTCTTACTTTTCGGTAAATATGCATTGAATACCTATTGCTGATAACACATTTAGAATTTTACTTGTGCTGTCTTTGCACTTGTCTGGACAAATAACTTATGTCTGGCATGATCATACCAAATGGTTGGTAGAATTTATGTCCTCTTTTTGTCCAATTCGGACCTCCATACACAACTTTACTCTGTACCGCAATACGATGGAGTTCTCTCCCTTGTCAAACAAAGCGCGAGGCCCGGCTTTTACTCGGAGCTACTAATGTAAATAATGAACTTTTATCAGTAAAATATGCATTGTTTGATAACATGAATGATATCTGATACAGAGAACACGATTAAACATAAAGGTTAGTGAGTGCATTTTGTTCTGTTTAGCGTACATGACAAGCACCGCGATACCCCGAGGTTGCAGGCTAAATTGTGAAAGGCACACATAATCGTCAGTCTGTTCACGACTTTCAACAAAAAAACAGTTTTTCCAATCAAAATTGAATGAGTAGACTGAGTGAGTATGGTTTTACGCCGCTCTTTGCAATAACACGGTGGGGGGACACCAGAAATGGGCTTCACACAATGTACCCATGTCTGGAATCGAACCTGGGTCTTCCGCTTGACAAGCAAACGCTTGAACCACTAGGCTACCCGACCGCCCCGAATGAGTAGAGTGTTACTTCACCGAAAACTTTCTGTTTGATTTAACGTTTTGACTCCTTAAACCAAAAGAAAACACCGTCTGCTCAACTGTTGACAATTTGTTTGGTGTTGGCAAAAGAACAGATATTAATTAGCCTAGATCATCCTCTGACGTTGAGACAAACGTTTACATTGCAACATATACACACAGTGCAAATTTACATTTGCTCCAGACATGATGCAAATTTGCTCCTGGTGTAAATATACACACATGAGTAAACGCGTTCACATGATAATTATACTCACGTATGTATTTCTACACACGTATGCACTAACACACACCTATGTAATCGAGGCGCATGTGTACGGGGTACAAGAGCTTATTATCTACATTGCTACCGCAGATGAATTTGAACATGTTGGCCCCAGTGCATCTTTTCGTAGAGCTAGAACGCCTTCTACGGTTCAAGAATGTCATATATTCTTTTCAACTTGATGCCATACTAACCGTGTACTATCGGGGACATTTCTGATGTACAGAGATGAGTTTGGTGGCCTTGTGTATCGCGACATTTTCACTTCGTCCAGCTTTCGTCTCAAGTAGGAAGTGCTATCTGCGCATGTTCCTGACCGGAAATAACGAGTTTAGCCTTTGTGTCCTTCGCCTAAGTCCGTAATAAAATCATGTTCTACGAACCACGAATACTGCGTTTCTGCGAAAGTTTCAAGAGTTGTGTTCGAACGGTAACGTTCATTGTGTGTGCGTGTAATCCTGATCGGTCGTATTAAAATACATTTTTTAACAACTTACACTGCTGTCATTCAAACCCTCTGATGTTCTCCTCAAGGGACAAAGTTATGATAATAGCAAGTATCATCATTTATTTCCAATAAACTCCCATTGTAGAGGGGGACCCGTGAAAATCCGGGATAGAATAGGTCTTTAGCAACCCATGCTTGCCGTAAAAGGCGACTATGCTTGTCGTAAGAGGCGACTAACGGGATCGAGTGGTCAGACTCGCTGACTTGGTTGATGCATGTCATCGATCCAAATTGCGTGGATGGATGCTCACGATATCAATCACTGGATTGTCTGGTCCCGATTATTTACGCCGTCATATAGCTGGAATATTGTTGAGTGCGGCGTTAAACAACAAACCAACAACAACAACATTGCGGAGGGGCGTTGCCTGGCCTCTGGCAACAGCGAGATGCACCACTTTGGACACCTGCCGTCTATCGACTATGACAGGTCCGCTTCCTAGATGGTCTGTTGAATATGGCACAGGACGGTGATATCCCCTACCTCGTGCAGCCCTCGTGATGGCAGTGGTTCTGGTGTCTACCCGTTCACATGCACCTTTATACATATGTGTGTGTGTGTGTGTGTGTGTGTGTGTTTGTGTGTGTGTGTGTGTGTACAATTTAAGTTCCATGGACCGTCCGTGTCATTGGAATACGATGTTTTCATTGAGACAATTAAAGTTAATGCTTTAGGAAACACCATCATTTCCTGTTTTGCAGTGCAGTGGGACATATATATTTATCCAGTGTTGGTCACCTTCTTGGTGATTCCAACACATGGTCCGTGAAACCATCTGTCTCAACAAATCACTGGACGTCCATCATCTGGCTGGTTGAAGATACAATAATGGTTTGGTCATTGAACGCCATTCAATGTTAAAATCATGTGGAGCATCTGAAGCCTTCTGAGTTTTAGACAACCTTTGACGTCTCTATCCTATAGTCTCGATCTGTCACATGTCAGATTCGTTGGGGTAAGTTGAACACGTGCCTCGATCACACCCAGACAACACCAGATAATTAATCCGATGTTATCAGTGATATCACTACATATAGGGGAAATTTTACATCTACAGTTCTGTCTACATACTTTTATTGAAACGTAAAATGATGCTGACATATAGTTGTATTAATCTATCCGCATACTACACCACAAGCTAATGTTTCTGAGGCACTGTATTTTAAAACGAAAACACCAATAATTGTGAAATGTTAAAACAAGTTTACATTAGAAATTAGCCTCTACTCCAACTATATTCCAACTTAGCCTATACGCAACTCAACTTATTGTGAAAACAACATGCTCTGAAGTAAAATAAATTAAATTAAACTCACATCGCCACTTACAAACACTTACATTGTGAAATGTTAAAACAACTTTACATTAGAAATTAGCCTCTACCCCAATTTACTCGCCGACTCTGATTGGAAGGCGCAACTTACTTATTGTGAAAACATTATATGCTTTGAAGTTTTAAGTATACCTTTACTTAATGTAACTCAATGTCAAGCTGAAACTTTATTTAAGAGGCCTAACATGGTGCTGTCAGATAACAATTATTCACAATGGCTTTTCGATGTGTTGCATGCGAGAAGAATGTAAGAAAAAAATCAACATGCTGTATCATATGTGACAACTGTGGCCAAATGCGGTGCCGTTTTCACCCGAGAAATCGGTGACGTTTTGCTGAGTCCCCGTATCAGCCTGCACCCATAATCGAATCTGGACTAGACAACCCAGGATTTGACATTACGAGCATCATCCACGCAATGAGGACATGCAACAACCAAGGCACCGAGTCTGCACAAAACATACATTTAGACCACAGGAACTCGTTATTGATCAGTAAATAAAAATATATACCCCCTATATGTAACTCTACTTAGATATAGGGGGTATATATTTTTATTTACTTTTATTTATTCAAATAAAAATATATAACCCCTATATGTAACTCTACTCACATATAGGGGGTATATATTTTTATTTACCGACCAATAACGAGTTCCTGCGATTTAGACGCCTCTTACGACCGGGATAGATTGATGGTGGCTGAAATCTGTGAGCGAACAAAATACTGCCACATTAAATATCTGAACGACATAATGATAGATGAAAGGAATTGTATCATTAGTATGACGTTACACATTCGGTACCAAAAATAACCCACTATATATACATATGATCGCTTAATCGATATTCCTTTGTGACGTCAAAAGAGACTCACTTATTAAGTCTAAGGGGGCATAAATCAGCAATGTCACTCCATGGGCTGATATAGTGGTATCTATGCTCACCATAGTTTCATAGCAATTTATTCATGAGTAGTGAAACGGCTCCAACACAAATATCGATATTGAAACTATATACTTTAAGGTATCTTCATAAATCACCATACATGATGAAATTGAACAGAGAATAACGCAGTTCAGACATGGATGTCCAATCTCACTTGTAATCTAGTTCTGAGATTCCGACATTCACCTGATTGTTGGAGTGTAATTTAATAAGTTGCCCATTATTGATGGAGTATAAGAATTTTCATAAAAAATGTAACGACTTCAGCAAACAATGACAACTGTATCTTTGACGTCATGACTTCTTTGTATTGAGTTTTTGACGACGCCAAAGAAAGACGACATAGCTTTTATTTATTAACATACATTTCCTTTTTTTCACATTTTCGTTCAGGGCATTATAACACTCCAATCTCATTAAAATCTGATCTTAGTTCTCGCTACCACCACTTTGTTTTATAAGTAGTAAGATATGATTTTGATGATGTTGAAAAAAATCGTTTAGGCTGACACAATCTGAAGTTTTTCCGATACGTTTTTTCTAAATATCTCTGGAATAGACAGTACTGAGGTTGCTTGTTTGTTTATGAGAACCTGTTAGGCATCGACTTTATATGAATCATATAAAAAAGCAGAATTCTAAAAGATATCCATTTAAAAAAAAATATCGGACATGTATGTGTATTATACGAATGTGCTTGATTTGTTCAGATTAAGACCTTTTTATATCAAATGTTTAGTTTCATGGCCAATGAAATTAAACATTAACGAGGCACCTATTTTCCTGAAAATCATTGCAAGTAACATTACGATGCGACACTAAGCCAGTTAGCTTAGAGTTGGGGTACGATGCTACAATAAGACAACCTCGGTTTGATGACGCGATTGTGAGGTTGTGTATTATACAAATCTTTACACAAGGAACGAATTGTTGGTACGAAGTAAAAAGTTGAAGTGAATTCAGCCACCCAATGGAGGGACCGACAATTTGATATTCATGAAAAAAAAGGAATTGCCTGCCACAAAAGATCTTCGAAAAAATATTCAGGCTCATGGTTATAATATTATACAAATATTTCTTGTTTTGCAGCTGAAGCTGAAAACAATTTATAATCTTGATACAAAATCCCAACTACCCCCCTACCCAAAGAATATCAAATGGTAGGTCCCTGAGGAGTGTGACTGATGTGTGAGGACAGAAGGAAAATAATTCAGGGATAGATATTTGCACTCATTCACTCACAAATCGGTCGTTTCATTGCCCCGGGGCTTGTTGCAGGCTTTAAACATGTAACTGTGATGTCCTCATGGGTGCGAGGGGTGGATGAAAAGTTCTGAGCCAAACTACCAAGGCTGTATAGTACGCCCTAAACAGTATGCATGTTTTAAGTACAAGACTATACATGCTGCATTTGAATTGAATATACCACCAGGTAGCACATTTACAGCGGCGTCAAAGTGACTAGGTATCCTCCTTTGATGACACTGGACACAATTGGATACCAAGCTGTCATCAAGTACCTCCAACCGAAAGGCACTCCTACAGGCACCGATGCAGACTTGGCGGCAGCTTCAGATAATGATTCTGTGGAGGAGGTTGGTAGCGATGTTCAACAGGGGAAGAAAGTCTTGAAGATGATCAAAGATCAGGAAGACCTTCCACTGCCATGCACGACTGAGGTAAATGTTGATGACGTGCATATGATTACACGTCACATGTACATGATGTAACAGGTCACAGGGCCAATACAGGAGGCATCTCTCACGAGAGAGTTGAGAACATTCTGCGGAATGAACTGGCCAAGACAAAGGTTTCATCATGCTAGGTTCCAAGGTTTCCGACTCATCATAACGTTCCAGGAACATCATCTTTCTTGAGAATGCATCGTTTTGAAGCAGACCCAGCTGATTGCACCTTAACGTCATGGAAAACTCACTACAAATGTGTTGTTCCACGAGGACAATGCACCTGTGGCATTATAGCTGCAACGCATTAGTGTGGCTTTAAACGCAGTGAACATCCTCTGCATTCACCTGAGTTGGCACCATCAGATGTCCATCTCCTCCAGTATCATTGGCAGACGTTTGTGGACCTCAGTGGATTGTTGAAAAATAATAAGCAACCAACTCCATCTACACAGTCAGTGCATCGCATTAAGGCTCAGAAACTTCAATGTTTTCGTGACAAATAATGGAGGTATCACCACATTTGATAAATGAGGTTCTGAGATGTAGCCGTAAAATAGTTATCTCAACTTTTTATTAAATTTTAATTTAAAAATCCCAATGCTTAATCTTAATGTTATGGTCAACTCTGAAGCCTATTCTCAGATGACGCTTAAACATCTTCCACCATTGAAGAATATTTTAATTTCAAAAACAAGTTACATTATGGGCTACATCTTCAGCCCTGTGGTTTCAGAAGTTTGAAAAAGAATTTCAGAGATTGAATATTAACAATTTTAAAAATGAGAGCATATGTTAGATTAAATTTGATTTCTAGATCTTGTATCGGAAGATGCTTAATGATCTATCAGGAGTCCATTTACTTAA